TCAACGTTGTTGTTATTATCTATCTATCTGTCTGTGTATCGTATCGGCTTTACAATTTTATAGAGAAAAGACCTAAAAAAAAACAAATTTTCATACATGAAAGGGGAGATGGTGGACACCAACCCTTTATTTTTTCAAAATTTTTACAAAGAATGGAAAAACACAGAATGTAGACTTTGAATGTAAACAAAACTAATGATAAAGTCTATTGATCATGGAATTTTAAAAGCTGAGAGACAGAGAGAGATGAAAGAAACTGGTGGTGAAGGGAGGGGGGTGGCAGTTGGCAATGAAGCGATGGAATTCATACTAATCTATCTAATGTAAACCATACGCATTCAAAGTGTTTTTTTTCACAGCAGTACACAGACAACTTTTTTCTCTTTGGACGCACTACAGTTGTGTTGTTCTAATCACATACAAACGTACACACACACACACACGAACTTAGTGTTCATGTTCAACGTGTATTAACTAACATTCTAACTATCTACAGGTATGAAGGCGTAACTAAATATAGAACAATATAGAACAGGCTATTTGAAAGATAGCTGTGCACAATAGAGAAAATACCTAAGCTAGAAAGACAAGTAATCTGTCATCTACATACAACATATGAAAGATCTACTGATTATTGGTGCCCAGTGGGAATTTGAAAGATCATTAAAATGAAAATGTAAATGTAATAAAATATTTTTACTTAGACAAGTCATTTTTCCAGAGAAAAAAAAGTAACATAGTTTAAATGTTTCTAATTTACTCGTCTATGTATGATATCTATATATACACATATACTATAGATGACCTGTAAAACAAAATTATTATGGGTTGTTGGTCAAGGTCAACAGTCGGCTTGTGAGTAGTATAATTCGTTATTAGAAAAAAAAATTTCAAAGATCTATTTACACATTTTTGAAACCAAAAATCGATCAATGTTGGACCAGCATTAGAAACCTGGAAGCACTGGATGACTATCAAGTCACGGTATGGGACTTATCAGTGGCAGTGCGCATCCACGACTCCTGCACCCCGCAGGAGTGCAACCCCGTAATGCATATATCTATTTGTTTACGCTGTATTACCTCGATACTGTGCTGTGTTCGATATTGATCATGGCTTCAGTTAATTGGACAATCATATATTCTAAGATGAAATAGCTGTCATGATGTTGAGTTAGTTGTTTACAGATTTCGATAGCGATCGACTGATTGATCTGTAAGATGATTTTATTATGATCCGATATGTGTTGATCACATACTGACAACTAAAGAAAAGTTTAAGAGTTCTATGAACAGTGGACATTAAAACAGACATTCTTAGATCAGCTCTAAAATAATTTCAAATCTCCTCTGAGAATTCCACCCACAAATCACTTGGCCGGAAAGAACTATCTATATCACATTCGATTCCCCAATAAAGTGAGTTGATGTCACAAAAACCATTCAACCGAAGAACAGATTCAGTAAGAATTTCAGATCTGTAACAATATAAGAACATAAAAAATTCCAGTGAAATTGTCCGTAAATTGATCAAGTGAGTCGTTAACACCGTTAGATAGCGGCGCACTGGTCCAGAGGTTAGGCGTTCGCAAGCAATACCGAAGGTCCTGGGTTCGAATCCTGTGGGACGTGAGAGTCTTGGATGAGCACTGCTGTTGAGTCCCATACCAGGACTTCACGGCCGTCCAGTGCTTCCAGGTTTCTAATGAAGGTCCAATAATGGTTGATTGAAGATTTCAAATGTGTAACTTAACAATCTTCACAACCCCATAATGAAATCACCAGTGTTCACTAGTGACTAGCTTCGTGAGAAATCTTCTCCAAGCTCTAGTGGGAAGTCGTGACCAGTGAGGTTCACATTGTTCAAATACAATACGATATGTTTGTGTATCATTCAAAACTGTAACCATGACAACATTTTTTTCTTGTAGATAATGATCAGAGCATTCTTAATTATACTAACACTCGTTATACTATTTGATGTATACGATTATAGTACCTAAGATTTGTGTGTCGATTGAGATTGACTTTTGCGATCACTTCATCGTTCATGTCATGAATCACTTTTCATTTAGTTCTTTTTAGTATCTTTCAGTTTATCGTTTACATTATCGTCCTTGGTATCATCAGTGGTAGTGTGCATCCATGACTCCTGCATCTCACAGGATTCGAACCCAGGACCTACGGTTTTGTGCGTAACCGCATTTGGATCATTGTGTCGATTTAAATTAAATCAATATTTTTTTCATTTCCTTGTGTATTTTACCACTAAGTCGGATAACTAAAACATTATCTTTGATAGTCTTTAATGTAATGTGACTCCATTGAAATTAAAAGTATACACGCACAATTAAACATAAATGCATGGAGGGATTCTGTGTTCAAGTTGTTATATATATAAATTAACCAACATGGATGATAATTCCGTCCATATGATGAAAATGAATCATGAAAGGGAGGTAAACACTTTTTTTTACTGTAAAGTGGAGAAAGAAAGGGTGTTTTGGGTTACAGATTAGTAAATCATGAGAATAAGATATGGAAAGGCGGTCGCACACAAACACACACCCATATGGATATATATGTGTATACATGAAGGTATTGGTATACATACAAACACACACACATATATATCTTCGTGTTTCTCTCTGTTACTGATTCACAAAATTCTAAATAGGTCATTTATATTTTATTCATTATCATCAATAACCTCAGGCTCAGGAAAGAAAACTAAAATTTCAAAATCATCCAGTATACACAAGTCAGAAGGCATATAATTCCTGTCCAGCATACAAACTTTTCATTATATCACAACTGCACGGTGTGCGTATGTGTATGGGTGTGTGTGTTGTAAAATGATAAAGATATTTATTCTTTTTTTTACCTATCAAGAAAAGTAATAGTTGTGTGTGTGTGTTATGTTGAGTGTTTTTGATGATGTGTGTTTACGAGAGTTAGATTGTTTTTCCCGATGAATACACGTAATCGTTGTGTGTGCATATATGTGTGTGTGTTTGTTAGACAGAGGATAACAAACATGCACAGATGAGAAATTAAAAAAAAACAGGAAATATAAAAAATAGATAGATTGTAGGAAATCATAAGGATAACTTTTGAAAAGTAATTCAATGATTCAATGTTTTTTCTTCTCCTTTAATTTAACAGAAAAAAATGAAAAAACAAACAAACACACATTGGTTACTACCGTACAATAAAAAAAGCCCAAAAATACAAGATATGACTATTAAAGGAGAATATTAGCTATAATCAACCCGCCAACCCTCTACATCTGTGTAGTAGTTAGTAAGTAGTAATACTATGTGTTTATTTTCGATCAGTGAAATGAAAGTCAGTCAGTCAGTCACTATGCCGAACAGATGTGTGCGTTTTTAAAGTAAACAAATCTACCCAACAAACAAATTGTATCAATTCTCAAGTTTACTTTCTTCCTTAAAAGAAGACGAAGAAGGGTTAACAACAAGACAGACAGGGATTGTAAGTTGAAATGGGGGGGGAATGAGTTGGTGGTAGGATAATTTGATTTATCCATTGGAAAAGTAAAAATTACAGTGTATCATTATTAGAGTATTAGGATGAGGTCTTTTAATTTGTTTTTTAGGCGTATTTTGTCTTATTATTATGGGGATTTTATAATTTGTACAACTAGTAGCGGAGGAGGTGGTGGATAGTAGTAGTAGTAGTAGTGTGAGTAGTAGTAGTAGTAGTAGTAGTAGTAGTAGTAGTAGTAGTAGTAGTAGTAGTAGTAGTAGTAGTAGTAGTAGTAGTGTGGTGCTGTGGTGCGAACTACTTATAAGTAGTATATAACGTGAGTGTCAACGTAATGTCTGGTAGCATAATATGGGGGGAAGATCAAGAAAGGAAGAGTTAGAAAACAATGGAATTTGTATGAAACCCATGAATAGTGACAATGGATTGATGTTTGGCAGCAGGAACAGTCCAGTTCCATAGGATGAACTGATCTTTTGCAAATGAACGATTTACGATATGGTTTTCCGATTTTACTGACTAACTCTGTAATTTTCGTTAAATACAATTCGGTTGCCCCCACCTGTGTTCTCATTCACTACATTTGGTGTCGCTGCCTGCTCGAAGGAAGGGGCTCCCGTGGCCGAAGGAGTTGCAGGACGGAGATTGGCGGAGCTTCCTGGAGGAGTTTGGGGCCACGGTGGAGCTGGTGGGGGCCTGGGGCGGAGTTGACGGTGCTGGGGACGCTGCGGGAAGGTGAGGCGAAGGCGGCACACGACAGCCTGGACGGTGCCACCGAGGAGACGGCGTGGGAGACGGTCACCGGGCGGCTGATAATGGAGTTCGACAGCCCAGTGGACAGGGAGGAGGCGCCGCAGAGGTTCCGGTTGGCGCGGCTGTCGGCCGATGGTGACCTGTTGGTGCTTGCTGTGGAGCTCGCCGGATTGCGCCTTGAGGAGTGGGTGGGGCACAGTCTTTGGCGTCGCAATTGGTCGAGTGTGTGCCTGCCGCCGTGTTCCAGCATCGGGAACTTGTAAACGCTACACGTTGGGTAGATGCCGTATCCATTCCAGACCAGTGATCAAGAACGATGACCGAAGTGGTAATCCGGCATATTGTAGCGTGTCACGGAATACGGAAGGTGATATTAACTGACCAGGGGCTCTGTTTTGCAGGACTACGACGACAGCTTATTAAAAGGGGGGACGAGTGTGGTGCTGTGGTGCGAACTACTTATAAGTAGTATATAACGTGAGTGTCAACGTAATGTCTGGTAGCATAATATGGGGGGAAGATCAAGAAAGGAAGAGTTAGAAAACAATGGAATTTGTATGAAACCCATGAATAGTGACAATGGATTGATGTTTGGCAGCAGGAACAGTCCAGTTCCATAGGATGAACTGATCTTTTGCAAATGAACGATTTACGATATGGTTTTCCGATTTTACTGACTAACTCTGTAATTTTCGTTAAATACAATTCGGTTGCCCCCACCTGTGTTCTCATTCACTACAGTAGTAGTAGTAGTAGTAGTAGTAGTAGTAGTAGTAGTAGTAGTAGTAGTAGTGGTAGTAGTAGTAGTAGTAGTAGTAGTAGTGTGAGTAGTAGTAGTAGTAGTGTGAGTAGTAGTAGTAGTAGTAGTGTGAGTAGTAGTAGTAGTAGTAGTAGTAGTAGTAGTAGTGGTAGTAGTAGTAGTAGTAGTAGTAGTAGTAGTGGTAGTGTGAGTAGTAGTAGTAGTAGTAGCAGTAGTAGTAGTAGTAGTAGTAGTAGTAGAGTAGTAGTAGTAGTAGTAGTAGTAGTAGTGTGAGTAGTAGTAGTAGTAGTAGTAGTAGTAGTAGTGTGAGTAGTAGCAGTAGTAGTAGTAGTGGTAGTATGAGTAGTAGTAGTAGTAGCAGTAGTAGTAGTAGTAGTAGTAGTGTGAGTAGTAGTAGTAGTAGTAGTAGTAGTAGTAGTAGTAGTAGTAGTAGTAGTAGTAGTAGTAGTAGTGGTAGTAGTAGTAGTAGTAGTAGTAGTAGTAGTGGTAGTAGTAGTAGTAGTAGTAGTAGTAGTAGTAGTAGTGTGAGTAGTAGTAGTAGTAGTAGTGTCTATAATTCCCTAAAATGATTGTCGACTATCCTCAAACGTAAGATGTCACACATACATCATATGCTTCAAAGAAAAGAGAACTAATTGTACATCTGTCTGATCTGTTCGGTTGCTAGCTGTATACACATCCCAGTATTGATGATTACTTCATCAGTCGAACAAAGCATTTTTTTGTTTCAAACCATTTGTCTATCATTCACTGGGTTGACTAGTTTGTGTTGTTGTTAACAGTTGAATCCTCTAGATGTTGACGTAAATTACTATAATTGATATCAGATAAGAACGCATCCTAGATACTGGTATTAGCCATTAGTTAACTTTTGTAAAAACTTGAGAATGTTTGGTAGATTGGAGGCAATACACTCAGAATACAGGTATTCCAAATAAAGCAACAAATCAGTTTCTAGCCTATAACAAACAACAAGAAGAATCTAGTCCGTCCAAAGGAAATTTTCTCATGGTTGGATAGAATATTATCTCATCGGTTGATTTGTGACGACTGTCATTAATCGTGGGAAATTTGGACTTATCTAATCAACGGATAATTGTTAATAATTGTTAGGGACGTTAGATCCTCAGAACTCAATTCGAAAAGGTCTCGGTTTTGTAAATTTATTCTGAAATTTTGAATTTGCATGTTTTCGTGCCACTTGACCTTCAACTTACATTTCCCACTCGGTAAATCCTTGACTATCATTGGTTATTTGAGTACACTATTTCGTGGCTCTCACCAAAAGCGTTTCTATCAATATCTAAATAAGCTTGATTTGTGGGCTTAGGAACCTCGTATTTTCTGTGTGCTTGTAGAATACATTCTCTACGTCTTATCAAGACTTCTTGATCTACTGAGCAGGGCCTCGGACGATTGGATTAGAATAGACTATCATGTCACTGTATCACTAACCTTCGTTCCGTTTACCGAGTAGGGTTGAATTGGCAATAGAATTTAAGCAGATCACTTTGACGAGCATATCAATAATCTATCCTATTTGTTACATTATCTACTTGATACTGTCTGTCATAATCAGCTGAGATAATAATGAAGGAATGAGTATTTCAAATTAAAATGAGTTGCAAGATAAATAATTTTAACTGATTCCTACTATTCTCATATAAAATAGATAGTCTAATAAGCAGTGCGAGTATTTCACATTGAAATCTAACCGATTATACACGTAGTGTGGTGAAGGAGAACACAGATGAGGGCAAACGAATTGTATTTATCTCAAATTACAGAGTTAATTGGTAAAATAGAAAAACCATATCGTAAATCGTTAATTTGCAAAATATCAATACATCATATCGAACTGGACTGTTCCTGTTGCAATACATCAATCCATTATCTGACATTTCACTGTTCATGCATTTCATACAAATCCCATTGTGTTCCCGCTCTTCCCCAATCTTCTACTGCCAGACATTACGTTTTTACTCGCGTCATATACTACTTATAAGTAGCGCGCACCACAATAGTACTAGCTTCATTGTTTAAATCTACCATATTCTAGTCATGAATGAATTGAATGGTGGCATACTTGAATCATAAGAGCGTCATCAGTATTAACCTCTTAACAAGTTCCGGATGTTACAATCTATAACTAAATAATCGATAAAATTAATCAATCAATCAATCAAAATTGTAATTTACCATAAGATTGATATGTTCTGTTCAACAAGGGAAGTACTCTCGTCTAGTCTTAATATAAACAATACACTGATATACTTCCAATCCTAACTCCCACTGTTAATCACATCATCTATTTTATTCTACATAATGTGTTGTAACAAACTGATTCAGTTGAGAAATATTTTTTTTCTGATTGTGAACAAGTTAAGTGGACAGGATTTAATTTGTTTTTAGTGTTGGTTATTGATTGATAATGTTATCTCATAATTCAGCATTTGTGTTAAATGTGTTCAAATTGATCACCGCTCACTGTGTTACCATGGTTACCTGTGGACGAGAAAAAATGGATGATAATCTTGAACTCAGTGGGTGATAACAACATGCCAACATTGTGATTATCGATTTACAACTAACTATCATATCATATCATATCATGGTAGTAACAGATTTAGAATTCACATTTTTTTTTCAAATTTTTTCAAATGACAACAATTATTTGTTGTATTCGATAGCATAGGTAACCTTGATGTTTTAAATTGAAAACAAGAAAAAAAAATGTAGTTGCCATTTTATCGATGAGTAGAATGTCTAGATTTAAAACAAAGAAATCAAATAAGTGTTTATGCTTTTTTCGCATAACTGACCAGTTTATTTTTTAACAATTGCAGTCTTCATTCATCGCTAACGGGACGATACCGAAGACAAATGAGTGAAGTTACGCGAAACACCCTAGATTGATCAGAGTTAGTCACCGTTGGATGTCGGCCGAGTGGTCCAGAGTCTAGGCGTTCGCGCACAAGACCAAAGATCCTGAGTTCGAATCCTATGGGCAACGGGAGTCTCGGTTGTGCACTGCCAATGATGAGTCCCATATCAGTGCTTCCAGGTTTCTAATGGTGGTCTAACGTTGACCGATTCATGGTTTCAAAAAAAGTAACTACCGAGGACAAATAAGTGAGGTCGCACTAAATCCCTAGACTGATCAGAGTTAGACATTAATGCCATTGGATGCCGGCCCAGTGGTCCCAGTGGTTTGATGTTCGTGCGCAAACCCCGAAGGCCCTGGGTTCGAATCTTTCGAGTTGCAGGTGTCGTGGATGCGCACTGCTGCTGGGTCCCATACCCGGCCATGACGGCTGTTCAATGCTTCCAGGTTTTTAACGGTGGTCTAACAATGATTTAAACTTTGTAGGTATATTGGATGCAACTTTAAAACATTGAAATAATTTACATTGAATCATAAGGTTAAACTGAAAGAAAAATTACTCTGTTAGATTCCATTGATCCCTTACAAAGTAGGTCATCATTTTAATTAAATTCAGTTATTGTTGATTGACATTTACAACTGTCTCTATCACCCTAAGGCAATAGTTGAACCATTGCCTTACATAATGAAAATGTGTTTTGTCATCATGATAGTAGTATAATGTTCATCAACATTTTATCAGTCAGTGTGTAGTGTGTGCTACTTATACGAACGAAATAAGTAGTATAAGAAAGGACGTGAAAGAAGTCTCACAGTCAGAAGAGGAAAACGGAAAGCAAATGGAGCAAAAGCAAGAAGTAAATGGAGTACCAACAGGAAGGAAAGGAAGCAACAACAGGAATGGAAGAAGGATGGAGCGTTGGAAGTCACGACTCAAAGATGGTGTGCAAATAGAGTGTGTTCAATGTAATGTTTTCGTTTTTAATTGACTCAGAGTGTAAATTTGCATAATACAATCTTCCGCGCCTGCCTCAGTCTTCTCAAGTGTACATTGGATGAAAAGGGTGGTTAAGGGAAACTTTTTTTTCATTCAATGAAAAACAGACAGTGTAATTGGTGAATTGATAAATCGGGTCTAAAGTGTTATTTGTTTCATTATTTAAAGTGTCCATTTGAATTGCGTTGATCTTTTTTTTTTCAATTATTAGCCTTAATAGAAGTAATTCAACAACATTTCAATGTACACCTCTTTTGATGACTTAAGTTTAGTACTCATTAACAATGCAATCGTGTAATCTTCAATAAACTGATGCTATTTGCGGTATCCCGACCAAATGAACTGTCTGAGGAATTCCTAGAGCGCTAAGAATAATTAGTTGTTCTGAAGATTGTAGGTATATTTTGCAGATGAGTTAGTTTTCTACGGGATGGGGTTGCTAACCCTCCAGCTTTATTCAGTTTTGGGACCGGAAGAAGCCCCAGAGGTGGCACCAGGCGGTGTTAATTATTAATCTTAGGATACGTCGTGCAACATTCCATGTACACCTCTTTTGATGACCTGAGTTTTTTACCATTTAGTAGTCATTAGCAAAGCATACATGTAATCTTGGATGAACTAATCGCTATTTATATTTATGGTTGACAAGAGTTCAAATCCTCCGAAAGTAATCACTTATTCTGAAGATTTTATGTATGTTTTGCAAACGACTACCAACCAAGCAGATCATTTGACAGTATCCAACTATCATGTAACATGCTTACTTATTTCTTCTGGCTAGGCTAGCGTTTTTTGGCAAGTTAGTTTTTTTTGACGGGATGGGGTCGCAAACCATCATGCCCAACTCTCCTCCTTCATTCGGGCTTGGGACTGGCAGTGTAGTGAACGAGAATACAGGTGGGGGCAACCGGATTGTACTTGTCGCAAATTACAGAGTTACTCAGTAAAATCGGAAAACCATATCGTAAATCGTTAATTTGCAAAATATCAGTACATCATATCGAACTGGACTGTTCCTGTTGCAAAACATCAATCCATTGTCTGACATTTCACTAATCATGCGTTTCATACAAATTCCATTGTTTCGCTAACTCTTCCTTTCTTGATCTTCCCCC